TATATATATATATATATATATATATATATATATGGGAAGGGTTCAAACGAGAACACTTCTACTTTACAAAAATGTGGGACGCTTTAATTTTGGGCCTCCAAATTAATTAATGCATAATAAAAATTAGAATAAATAAAAATAAATTAGTATTTATCCATAACTTTCTGTTATCCTAGATTTATTTATATCCTTTAAATGTTGTTATATCGTTGGAGACTTTTTATGTTGGTGTTTAAAACAATATTTTTTTAAATTAATAAACCTCACTCCACCTATTTTTATTCAGAAAAAGACAAAATATAAACAAATATCAAGGGAAAATAAATTACACTAAAAAGTCATATTTTTCTCACTAATTAGACATCTATAATGATATACTATTTCATCCGTTTTTCCGTGGTTTTCCGGATTTTCATTTATTTTGCATCGAGAGAGAGAGAGAGAGAGAGTTGAGTTCAGGAAAAACGCTAAATAAATGAAAAACTGGAAAATCACGAGAAAATGATGAAAAAAAAAAATATATCAATGTGATGTAATTTATTTCGCTTGATTTTTGTTTATTTTTTTGTAAAAATTAGGGGTGATGAGGTTTTTTTTTTTTTTTTTGATGGAGGTGAGTTTCATGTAAAAGGTTGAACCTCCCTCTATATATATATATATATGGGCACGTTCAAATGAAAACCGTGCATTTTTAAGAAATCGTGTAAACCAATTTCGACCAATAGGAAAAGTCCATTTTTTCTAATTAAATTTAATCAATAAGGGTATAAATCTTAATTAAGAAAACGTAATAAAGAAAATTGTATAAATGGTAACATTTAAATATTTAATTATATTATAATATTACAAATTTGAATTTGATATATTGTTATGAGATTGAATCTGCAAACGGGTCTTGAAGATTGAATTGCATTATGGAATGAAATCGTAAATTATGGTTCAAATTAAAAAAAAAATAATGTTAATGAAATAGGTTTCATGAAGGTGAAACTGGTTCATGATGTAATTGATTCATGAGTAATATGAAATGGTTTCATGGTGAACCACGTTTCAGTAATGGTGTAGTTGATCCGTTTAGTAGAAAAATGGAACATGAAATGGGTGCATAATTTATTTTGTTCGTCATGACATAATTGCATGATGAAACGGGTACATGATGAATCTACTTCGGGATCTTGAAGATTGTAATCTGCTCCAGAATCTTGAAGATTGTAAGGATTAAAGGAAAAATGCATCAAATCATGAGTTAAATAAAAAAATTAATTTACATGAAACAGGTTTGAAGAAAGTGAAACTGGGTCATGACGTAATTGAACAATGAGTGGTGAACTACTTTCATGGTGAAACCCGTTTCAGTGATGGTGTAGGTGATCCATTCAGTAGATGAAATGAACATGAAACAGGTGCATAATGTAAGCGGTTCGTCATGAAATAATTGCAAGATGAAAAATAAATTAGTTTCATTAATAATAATAAATGTTAATATAAAAATGTTAATGTAAAAATAATAAATTACGTTACAAAAAATAGATTAGTTTCATTAATAATATGATATACATGATATGGTTTCCTTGAATAAATGAATATTTGGTTTTACCCTTTTGCTCTTATCGGTATTATAAAATGTATTTTCAATTTTTTTTATTTTTAATTTCTTTAAATAACATTGATTAATCTTAACCATTGATCAAAAAAATGGATGAGTGAGATAGGTTTATACGGTTTACACAAATGGAGACAATTTTATTTGATCGCTCATATATATATATATATATATATATATATATATATATATATATATGGGGGTGGCTAATGGCACCCCTATCATGTGCTAATGCCACCCCTAAGTAGCTTTTCATCATTTATGTTTTATGATTTTTTGTGTTTTTGTGATTATTACTTTTTATTTTATTATTAATTAAAAAAAATTTTAATTAATATATATTATTTATTTTATTTTCTGTTTTATTTATTTATTTATATTATATTTTAATTAATATAAATTATTAATAAATATATATTATTCATTTTGTTTTCTGTTTT